ATGGCATCAGAGCATCTCTTAAATCGCCATCCTGGTTCCTTGAACTGTCCTGGTCCCCCTGTCCGGACAGAGCCCAGAGGCTTTGTGGAGCAGCAGAAGATGCTCTCTGTCAGGCTGTGTCGGGAGAGGAGGTGCGAGGTGGGGTGCACGGGAACGGGGAGGGCGCGTGGGAGCCTCGCCCTGGGTCTGACACGGATCCGAGACTGCTGGGTCAGCAGGCAGTGTCTTTGCCAGCCCCCGGTCAGCTTCGCATATGTCTCAAGGAGCAGCGAGGGAAAATGCAGAATTGCTTCCCGCTGTCAGCTTCCTACCAAAGCTCCTGCCCTTGGCCGGCGTGTTACATGCACCCATTTGGGGTTTCGTGCTCGGAGACTCCCAAACTTTCAGCTCTGCAGCAGGACGTTGGGGAAAAGCGTGTTTGTCGCTCGCTGTGGTTATGACCCAGGATGTGTTTGTCACAACTGGCTTTTGCACGGTGTCTGAGGAGCAGGAGCCCTGCCGGGCAGGGGGAGCATGTTTCGGATAGTTGTAGCTCAGGAGCGTTGTGGGGGGTTACTCGGAGCGGTGCGGAGCGGTGTGGCGGACGAGACTGTGGGTTTGGAAGAGTACTATAACTGTTCAGGCTCCGAGAGCTCCAGTACTGTCCCTTCTGCTGGGATGGACACATCAACCTGTCCCACTAAGGATTTCTGCTTCTGGGCTGTGCTGTGGGTTTATGAATTGAATTAGGCTGGCCCCAGTGCCAGGCAGGGAGGAGTGCTGGGCAGGTCTCCTTTTCCAGTTAGGAGATGGATAGCTGCTGGTAGAGGATCCCAAAGCGTTGTCTGCCTGCAAGCCAGCCGAGCCAAGGGCTGGCTGCAAGCTGCCTTTAATAAGAACATGGACTATGTTGCTTGCTTTTGATTAAATTATGTATTGGTCTGAGCTGTCTGCTCTGAGTGATGGACTCAGTGTTGTTACTGAATTCTGCAGAAGAGGGTGGTGGCACCCAAATAATGGTTTGGTTCCTCTCACCAGCAAAGTTGCTGAATGCTGGGTTGTAATCTCTGCGCTCTTGGCCCAGCTGGAGTCCTGGAGCACTGGGAGGACAGAGCATAATTATGGCATCCATCCCTTCTGAGCCCAGACTGCCAGAACTAGCTCCAGAATTCCCTCTCGTGTGAGATTTCAAGGAAGAAGGTGGTTTGCCATTGCGAGTTTCTCCCGAGGGATGTACGTGGTTGCCTGCACTGGGGACACAGGTTTCCCAGGCTTGTCGGGAGGTGCAAAGCCAGAGCTGAGGGAAGAGCATCTCCTCACGTAGCTGCGAGGCGCCTGGTTTCGGCTCACGCTCAGGATCACGACAGGCTGCTGCTCTCTGGGAACTCATGGTGAGGGGTTGCTGGGTTGTATTTGCAAGCTCTGCTTGAGAAGAACAGAGCTTTTTACAGGGTGGGGTTGGGGTTTAGGTGGAGTGGCGTGGGTAGAGGTTCTTTGAGCAAAGGCAGCTCCAGCAGCAGCTGATGCCCTCTGTAAGGAGCCCTGTGCCCTGGTGTGAAGCACACTGAAGGTTCTTATTTCCTGGACAAGATTCTCAGAAGTGCCTGACATGTTGTGAGACTGCAAATCCAGCCAGCAGTGCTGGGGTGGGAGTGCTGAGAGGCCTTGAAACCCTGCCTAGACTCAGAAACACAAGTGGGAGGCGAGCTCTTCGGCAAATCCAGCCCTGAGTGCCTGGCACTGTGAATTCCAGGGGTGAGCTCTGTGCACCTGCATCCCACACCGCTCTCGCTTCGCTTGCCTTCCCCTTTTCCCATTTTGTTGGATTTTCAGCTTGCTTTGTGAAGTTGAAGTCCCACTCCCTTGTGCTGCTGCGCTACACACATTTGTGACAGAAGCACGAGAGTAACTGCGCGCCTGTGCCCCAGTTTGCTTCAAAAACGGCATTTTTGTGTCCTCCTGTATTTTGGCTTTTGCTCCCAGCGTTGGGGTCAGCCCTGAGCTAGTCCTGCTGGTGTTAGCAGAGGAGAGGAGGGGGCTGGTGGGTCTGTGGCTGTGTTGGAGCCTTGAGCAGGCTCCACTCAAAGGAGTGATCCATGCTGGGACCTGGAGGGCTGATGGGATGGGACCCTTTTACCCTTCTTTCATCTTTACCTCCGGGTAGCTGAGCACATCAGCAGAGAGTGGATGACCCTGTTCTCTCCCTGTCCTTCACACTCCCAGCTTCTGAAGGCTTCTGGGCACGCAGGGCACTTCTCAAGGCCAGGGAAAGTAGAGCCTTTTGCTGCTGAGAGAGCTGGGAGCACGGTGGCTTGAGCGTGAGCCCCTCGGGGGAGGCAATGCTTCCCAAGCCTGGCCACTGCTTCCTGCTGGGGACAAGGGTACCTGAAGGCAGGTGTGGGGTAATCCATGCCATCTTCTTCCTCCATGTCCTCACCTCATCTCCTTGGGTTCTTAATTATCGGTTTGGCAAGTCTGAATTAGCCTGATTATCATTATTCTTGATGTGAGGGACTTA